CAAGACAAAGAGATCAATTCAATTACCCGTATTTTGGAAGCACGAAAATAGATTGGAATATAATCAAAATTTTCCGATTATAAATTTTTTAAAACTTTCTGAAAATCCTGGAATTTTTTTTATCTCAATATTTTGGTTATGGAAATTTTGGAATTCTGAAGCTATTGAATTTTTATATGATCAGGAATTTCGGATTTATTGAAAATTTTAGTTTTTTTTTCAGAAATTCCGTAAATTCTGAATTTCAGGTTTTCATGTTCGGAAATTTTGAACTTCGAAATTTATTGGAATTCAGAATTTTGAAAAATCCACAATTTGTATGGAAAGTTCCAAAAAAGGAATTTAAGAAAAAAACTGTAAAATTTAGAAAGTTTCTAGGATTTTTAAAATTTCAATATTCTGAATGTTCCAAAAATTCAAGATTTCAAACGATAAAACAATTCTGACAATCGATAACTCAGCTCAAAGTGGATCAAATAGCTTGAAACTTGGCCAGTGTACTGGTGAATTATTTGAATTTTCGCCCACTAAATTTGAGCGCAGTACAACGCTTTGTTCAGATTTTATGCGACCCTGTATTTAAAAAAATACAGTTCCTCATCCCCTTTTCACTAACCTTTCATATCTTCTGGTTTTTTCATTCTATTTTCCAATGGAAGTACCATTGCCTGTCCCTCCAAAGCATACAGGATCGCACCAGCGGCACTAACGACTCCGCCCAGATCTGTGACCGGCGGGAGATCGGAAAGTTTTTTGTGCTCTGTCGTCAGAAGTTGCTGGAATGTTTCATATTGGATTCATCTATTATTTTTTTCTGCTGCAAACACTCACAAACATAATAACAGCCAGAGCGATGAGCATGAGGAAGTTTCCACCGAGAGACACAAGAGATAACGCACGCATTGAGGAAAGGGAAACGAGAAGAATGAATGCGGGGAGAACCATTGGAAAGAGAGCTGCACGACTTGGAACGTCATTCATGAAGAATTCAAGGAGCTGAAATTCCAATTTTAAAGAATTTCATACCGTAAAACCTGTTAGAGAAGGGCCATTTTAATTTGAGTCAATTTATCTCAGCTCCTGTTATAGATATGAAAAAGTTGTCAACTAGTAAATTGTTTATCATAAAATCACAAAAATTTTATTAATTGACACATTTTTGATATCCTCTTACAGTAACCAAGATAATTGAGGTGGTACGACGGATCGGGCATTTCCCAAAATGAAATAGTAGCAAAATGAAATGTTTCTGAATCGAAATACTTACAAATTGAAAAATTTACGAAATGAAAATTGTCCGAAAGCAGAAAAGGCGAAAGTGGAATTGTCCTAAAGTAGAACTGTCCCGTTTTGGACAGCTGTTAGATCTCGAGCGCTGATTTGTTTATCATCCCGAAAAGCCTAAGACGGGTTTTCAAAGAATAATACGCGACGAATATGATGGATGAGAGACAAGACATAGATTTTTGAAATACATCACTCTGAATATTATTAGCCAAAAACTGAATGCATATTGTGACATCATCGGGTCGAGATCATGCAACTGAAATCTTCTGTATTTTCTCAAAAAATCAAACAGGATGAAATGTCCTTTGGTGAAGATCATATTGGGTAAGAGAGACGCAGAGATATGATTTTGGATGTTTTTTGAAAAGTCTTTAAAAAAGTACCGGTGTTTTTACATTGTACTTTTTTCCTGTTTCTTTTTGATCAACTGATAATATCATATTATCCCGCCTTCTTGGGAGAGGATCCTTTTTTGGGAATCTATAAAATTAGACGACTTTCGAAAGGAAGCCGTCTGCCTTCT